TGTGCTTGATTTTTTTAGTTTGCGTGGTTAATGTTACAAAGCATCTGGTCTTATATGTTAAGAAAATCAAAAGTATTGTTAGTGGCCAGAGTAAGAAAAAAGTTGTGACAGCTAGTTTCTGGGGTTTTGGCTGGAATTTTGAATCTGAAATGGCAGACTGGAAAGAGATTGTATAGTATACATCTACTTTGACTGAGCTTCTCCAACTTAGAAAAACTGGAAGATGACAAAAAAACCTTACCTCTCTGGCTGAAAATAGAGAAGAGTATAAGAACAGGGTGGGGCCAAATGCAATTCAAGTACAGCTGTGTATAAAATTTTATTTTCCACAGCAGTACAAAATAGCCCTAAAGAGCAGTTCCTCTGACAATAACAGAGGAAACTTCTTGGAACATTTTCACTTTATATGAAGGGATATCTGATTTTTTTTTTGTATTTGCTTGAATTTTTCACATTAAAAAATTGCAAATATTAATGTCATAATAATTTTCATACTTCATATCAAAAACACATATCAGAAAGGTAACTGTTTTTCTGAAAGAAAAATCGACATTCTACTTGTCTTTTCTATCTGTCTTCTACAGTAATGCAAGAATAAAAACTCCTAGCTTATGATGCTTGTTGGAAAGTACACTATTGTAGGTCATGAACCTGATGTGTAGAATGACCTCAGGCCACTTCATAGTTCATCTTTCCTTATCTTCCGTTTTCATCATGTGTTTTGCCACAGTTTTTTCCATTCAGAATATGACACAGAGTCAGCAAAAGAAAAACAGTAGAACTTGAGAAGAGTAAGGAGCCTGTCTTCCATCCTCTTACAGACAGTGCATTATTAAAACATATCTGAAACTTTCCTCCATGTCATGTTGTGTATGATATCCTTGCAGATCACAAATCTTCATCTGTTTGAAACATACATGTATATGAATCTGTTTCATGCATATGTATGTATATATGCATGTATGTATATATATATATGTATATATATACATATATATACACACATATATGTATCTCAGTTTATTCACTGAAGAGGAATGTGCATGTTCATACCAACCAAACTTGGTATAAAAGAGGATGAAAATTATAAACAAAGTGCAGCAATATGCATTGATTCTGACATCCTGGCAGTATTCTGTTTTGGATTCTTCTGGCCAAAATATAAGCCATGTCTGAAAGCCTGGGCTAGACAAATAAAAACTTATTTTTGTCATGCTCTCCAAAGTGTTTGGCTGTAAGCCAGCTGTGGTTTTTAAACCATATGGCCACATCAGCTCAGACACAGAGCTGTGCTAATAAGGTTGTCATTCACATCCACAGCAGTTCTCCCTGCAATGTCACCCTGGAAACTCATACAAAGTTATTCATCCTCTGATAATTTTTTTTTTATTCTGCTATCCCTGCCCACCCCTGAGATGCTACTCCATTCTCTAATGTAATCTTGTTTTTTATTTGCATACACACACCTTTGCATTGTTAGATATTAAAAAGCATGCTATTTAAATAGACCAACTCTACATTACTAGAGGAGATATAGACTGCTCAGTGCTTTATATCACACTATTCTAAAATTCTGGGTGATAAACCATCTTAGTTAATAGTCCAAAAATCTTGTTAGCAATATGTTCTTTTTATTTTCTTCCAGATCATTGCTTAAGATTTGAAGTGTTAAACTGGAAAAGAATCTCTGTAGGTGTTTCTAGATAATCCGTGGAAGTTTCATTTTGACTGATTTTTTTATTTTTTTTTTTTTTGCCTTGTCTTCGGTTAACGAGGTTATAGGCTATTTTATGTGTTCTCTATTAATCACACACATGGAGCAAATGATACTGTTAGTAAAAAGGAGAGCGCAAAGCAAAGGTTTAACAAAGGAAGTAAAATGGATCATATATACAAGTACTTGGTCTGGAGGTTTTGGTAGAGACTAAAAATGTTTCCCTTTGGTAGGCTTGTGCATGTGGTTATTTCTTCTATCATCTAAATTACTCACCTTGAGCTTATGTTTTATGAGTTTCAAGTTCATTTTCTCTGCCATGGGTATACTTCTTTTTTTGGTATTATCTGCAAGACATCTGTTTTTACTTGAGGTATAGGAATTTGCTCCAGGTCTTGTTTGTGATATCTTCCTCCTACCTAGGGCAACTGTGAAACTTTACCATGGTGACTGCATCTTTGCTGGCACTTTCTGTAATGCAGTGCTCGCCATTAGTCAAATTTATATCCAGTACTGTAGGTGTATAGCAAAACAGTCCTCCTGTCCAAATATTTGGTGTCATGTGAGTGTGTACTCTAATTTCCTAGCAATAAACTTTGCCTCTTGTAGACCATGACTGCCATGTAATTCCTTGGGAACATTGTATAGAAACTAACAAGAATGATAACTATATTCAATACTTTGTGTGCTGTGCTTTGAGAAGCATCACTTATATAGGCTTGTGAAGAATTTGATCTTATCATATGGTAAGAAATATTCATGTAACTTCTTTGTATTCCTTCCCCCCCTCACCTGTTTGTCTGACTGGTTATTAATGAACTGTTCAGCATCACAATGTCTGTAATACTCTTTTGTTTTGATTATCCTGTTGGCTGACTTAGTGTAAACTGTAAATGTCCACAAGTCATAATTCTGGCCTCTAAACTGACACTTTAAAAATTTATTCTGTGTTCTTTTGTCTTTATTTTGAAGTACAGCTGTTTGAGACAAACTCGACTAATTGTCACAATAATTGTTTTTTTTTCAGTTTTCTGGAGCTTTCAGAATAATAACAAAAGTTATTTTAAATAAAGTAAGATTTACTTGAGATTCTAGCATTATCTGTCTGCCTGCCTGCAAGGAGAGGTCTGTGCTCTAGGCAGGCCATATAGGCTAGATTCGGAGGCGGGGGGGGGAATCATAGTAAGAGGTGACTCTAAGGGTGATTTCTCAGTAAGCTTTCTCCTTATTTTCTCCTCCTTTTTTTCTGACTTGGTAGTGAGTTGCAGCTCGAGTATTAATCCTCAAAATTGAAAGCTCAACTGTTTAGTGGTGGTGTTAGCTGTATTACAAGAGGATTAACACAACAAATGTGATTGCACGGCGCACCTATCGCAACCCACTCAAACAAATCAGGTTATAGATTATTTTTCCATAAGTAGAGCTCAGATGTATAAGTTCACTAGGAGCTGCTTTTGTGATATGGAGTTACTAAACACCTCCAGTCCTTTTGCAGTAGTGTTTGGAGCAGATGTCCTCCAGCAGTTTTTCACAGTCACTCTCACTTTCTCATTAACTCAGGAAAAATAAAAGTCGCTTAGCCAAGTTTAAAGGAATACTTTTCCTTTAACATGAGAGAAGGGCAACTAAGCTCCAAATGAGCTCTGCAAAGATACAATGTTGTTCTTTCCAAAGTATGCTGCAGTTTTATTAGTGGAATATCTGGAGGAAAATATATAGATTAATTACTTCAAAGTAGGAGAGTGATATTCCAAAAAGGGTTGTATAAGCAGCTGCTAAAATAGAGAAAGGATCTGATTCTGTTAAATGTAGCAAGTAACTGTTATTATAATCTTAAGTATTATTTTGTTTAGGATGGTAGAAATGGAAAATTATTTTCTACCTGGAACTTAAGAAAGTGATGTCAGTCCTGCTATATGGAGCTCTCCAATCAACTCACTGTTTCATGTGGAAGCAGAAACTCATGATGTCAGTAAACACAAGAATTGACTGAAATAGTAGATTACTTTCTTAAATCTGAAAAATTGAATTATGATATTTTATAAGTTTACAAAATTAAGTTTACTTTTTCATCCAGTGTTTCAGAGACAAGATGATAATCAAGTTCTTTAAAGTTTATTGTAGCTACTGTCTTGTTATTCCCGCTGTACAATCAATGCCTGAATAAGTAGTCAGCTACTCACCTGATTCATTAACCCTGCTGTGGAAGAGAGGAATGGGACCTAATTATTTTCTCTGTTGCTTGCAACCTAAATTATTTTGTAATTCTAAATGTTTACTTCTATATCAGAGTCTCTGAAGTATATCATAACAGTGTTTTCCATTCATAATGAAAATTGCAGGAGCAAAGTCCATAAATACAAATTTTAGTAGTTGAAATTGAATTTTTGGCACTATTCAGTAAATAGGAACTGAAACTCTGCTGAGACAAAAGTGGTGATTTGAAATGATCATCATAAATTTGAAGGAAGTAGTGGGAAAGTAGTTTGAGTGACTGTATTTTCTCCCCCACCCTCCACATTAACCTTTCAGTACAAGATCATGAACATTTAATCCATCCCAGAGCAAACATACTGGTGATGTTTCATCTTGCAGTGTTAGGTGAAGGCTAGCTCTTGGCCTTCTCCATAAGATAGGTAGAAGGATGCCATTAATGCAAACCACCAGAACTTGCTCTGGAAATCAGTGTCTTGTAGGCTCTCCTCAGCTGAGAAATCCATGAATGCGAGTTTGCCTTTTTGCCTCCCCCAGTGCTATATTGTGTAGGTTACATGGTGGTGCACAGTATCAGAAAAATTGTTTTCTTAACTGAAATGTGATCAGTACAAACCAGCTTCTTAAAGTTTTTTGTATATTATTAAGTATAAAACCAAAAAATTTAGCTGATGTCTCTCTTTTTTTTTTTTTTTTCACTCCAAACTGGAAAATCAGTAATTTCTCCATTATTGAGATTTATTAAGTTATTTTATTAACTTTACTTTAGACTGAACTCTTCCATCAGTGTTTAAAAATGAAAAACTATGACTGAAAATACTGTGCATCGGAACTGCTCTTGAAAACTTCATTAGTGGAAGAAATATTTAAATATTATGATGTTGTGTTGTGGCATGGGAATCAAAGTTAAAGCTGTGAATTACTAGTTACCACTTGAATGCTTATACACCCAATTTTTAGTTGGATTAATTAAACTCAGATTTTGAAATTATAATGAATTTAAATTAATTAGATCTAACTAAAAAGTCTTCTGTTGGAAAGTAATTAATCACTAGCTCCTCATGTATTTCAGGTAGCATACAAGGAGCAACAATAGTGGATGCCCTTGATACACTGTACATCATGGAAATGAAAGAGGAATTCAGGGAAGCCAAGGAGTGGGTTGAAAAAAACTTGGATTTCAATGTGGTAAGTAGTGTTCTGATGAACATTTAATGCTCTGTTTAGTTTTCCAGGGCCTATTGAGGACTGGGTTCTAAAAGCATGATGCAAGGCTACAGAATTTAGATTGTTGATACACAAAACGGCAAAAAGCTAGAACATGAGAAACTTTACTGTTCTGCTTATATTCTCTTTTTGAATTTAAGAGATTTAGGTAGATAGAAGCCAACAAGCTGGACTGAAGGAAGGAAAAAGGAAATAGAGTATTTGCCATTGTAAAGTAAACAACAGCTTTTTCAGCTTTTTTGGATAGAAGAATCCAGACACTTCAAGCATTAATTTTTTGTTTTGTAAACTCATTTTCACTTTGTGAAATCGTCCCCAAATTTGAGTTGTGTTTAGAGAAAGCTACATGTCATACATACTACTTAGGTTCCTTTGCCTATTCCAGTAAAGTTGAATCCCATGAATTAAGCTGAACGTTTGGCTCAACTAAGCTGCTTTAGTCATATGAAGCACCAGGTCTTCACAACTGCAAGTACAAATCACTCTATTAACTGGCAAATATGCAGCTGAGAGCAAAATTCATTATTGAAGTGTTTATTCTAGAAAAGCCCTGAACAGGCAAGAACCTCTGAAAAACGTCCATTAAATTGAGAAGTCCTATGTTTGATCTTTTTTTCATCTTTTTTTTTCTTTTGTGGGCCAAAGGATTTATTGTAATTGCTGAGTATAGAGAGCTGACAGAGTACTATGTTGATCAATGTAATAAAGTAGGAAGACATTATAGGCATAGTACACAGAGCACTTAAAAGCTCTTGTAGTTGATGTGTAATGTTAGAAACACTTTCTGAAAACGAAGTACTCTTTCTAATAGGTGAGGCAAAAGCCAGGATTAATTAGCTTCTCTTTCATGCTTCAGAATTAATTATCATTTTAAGAAGGAGTTAATAAGAGTGGATATTACATAGTTTATATAAGCAGTAATTTAGTGTGCATTTATATTTACATGTGTGATGTAAATACAGGATTCTGTGTACAGTGCTTCTGAGTAGTGTAAGGAAACTGAATGACGTGCTAACTTTATTTTGTGCATAAGATTTTTTTTTATAAAGAATTGTTATAATACTAACTTCCTGTCTTATTAGCTTGGCATTGTTAAGATGTTTAAAAATCTAAGAAGGAAATAATGTAGAAAATAGCAAACTCCATTTTAAAGGATGAGCTGAGCTCTAGTTGGAGACATATGTAGTGTTGTAGAGTGATTTACATTATTACCTCAAAAATCTTTGTGAGTACATAAATCTTGCTGTATGTCATACTGGAACCTTATGGATGGTATTGCCTACAATTTCAGCTCTTCTTGTTATTGCACTTATTTTTTCCCAGTAATGCTTATAAGCTATGAAGTCTTTCAAAATGTCTGAAATCCTGTGTTGCAGTAGTTGATCAATGCAGTAGTCAAGCAGATTTACCAAAGCTACTTCATAGATAATACTGATACGCATCAGTAACAGTATCTTGTTCCTGATATTCCTGTAAATAGCTGTCTTGAGTCTGACTCCTCACAAAGTTATTCTCATAATACTTCATAATCATATAGGATTGAATTTTACATTGGCATCAGCAGTGAGTAGGTTAATTTTCCAAAACGGGAAAAAGGAAATGAAAATAAATAACTGCAACACCAACTTTAATAAAGGTTAGGCATTTGTTTAGTGGCTGGATTGTTAGAAGTTACTCAACTTTCACTCTTCTTTAGTTTTTCACCTTAAGTATAAGTTCCAGCTTTAAATGCTGTTTTGTATTTGTATCTTACTGTTTAAAAACCAGGAAAACCCTCTGGTTTGTGTTTAAGCATTTATCGTGTATCAGGCATTGCTCATTAACATTTTCTGTGTTATTGTTTTGTATACTCTTACATGCTCATGTTTTAGAAACCTTTTTCTCATGAAAGTGATTTGTTTATAAAAACTGACATGCTGACATATCCTTAAGGGTTATTTCTTGTGAGTAGTATAAACTTGTGTTTAATGTTTCTGGTTATTTCCTGGACAGTGACTGCTTATTCGGGTTTTGGGGAGGCATACTTCGGCTTTATTTGCATAAATAGAGTTAGATTTTCTCTCCGTTTATTCTTAGAACTATGTATTTTGCATGTTAAATTTTCTATAAGATGTTCTTTACAAAAGTAGCTGCGACTATAGTCTGTAGCAGAATCTTTTCTCTGTGTTCTATGTCAATGCAGCTGAATAAAGGAAACTGTTTCAAACTCTAGAAGATGCTCATTGTACAGAACTATTTGGCCATCACTCATTCTCATCACTTGATCATAAAAGTTTCCTAATGTCACTTTGTAAAGTAGGCACTAGTTTATCACATGAAAGCATTTATGGAATAAAAGATGACTTAATGAGAAATGTCATCATCTCTTTATTTGTTAGATTTCAGTCCCGCAATTCAATGAATTGGATGTCAGGGTTACTCTTATTTACTTTTCTGAAAATAGGTTTTGAGCTTGAAGGAAAAATCTAGAAAAGTAAATGACACCTTTCTCATCAAATTTGTGCACTTTAGTAAGCTTGTGAGTGGATGTGTTTGGAAGCTTCCCATTTTGGAGTATAACATGCTTAGGCTGCTGTCATTTTATCTATAGGTGGTAGCCCTGTGATTTTATAACTGAGATATCCATGTTGCAGTGCTTAGAGCTGTTTTTCTGTTCAAGCTGCTGAAATTTTTTGTATTTGACACCTTGCTGAAGTTTCAGCCAAACTGAGCCATTCCTTCAGGCATTATGTTACATTTTCTGATTCTTTCAATGTTTTAAGAGATTTAGACATACCTTTGAAAAGAGTTGGCCTTTACAGTGGCTAAATCCATGCTCTTTGCACCATGGATGTGTGCTCTCTTTTCTGTTAAATCACTTCATCTCCCTGGGGGATTTATCTTTGCTCTTCTAATTAATATAGCTAAGGATTTGTTCTGACCTCCCCATGCATGCTGCTGCCCACATGCCCTTTTGCAGTGCTCGCACACAGCCCAAGGCTGCACCGGACTGGGTTGTATATCAGCACATCAGAACAGAGGAAAAAGGAGCCAGTCTTTCATGGGATCTCTAGGGAGCTTGGCTGTTTCCTAGCTACAGCAACACACTGCTACGTGCTTCTCTGCCCTTATTTTTTATCATATGCTTCAGAACCTGCACACACACACAGAGCATTCATAGCTTTCTGAAAGAGTTTTTGTACCACTACCCAATTTGCGCTTCACACTGGGGTGGAAAAAGCTATTGGTCTCTGCAACTCAAGGGCTGAACCTTGCTGAATCCATGTTTGGGAAGAGAAATAGGAAGAGGGATCTTAATGAGGCAGATGAGGGGGTGAGTTGTTGGGGGTACATGGTGCAGGAGTTGAGCCACATGGCAGGGCAGTGAAGGGTTGGGAGCTGTTAAGTTTTGGAATTGATGATGCTTCACTTCTACACTCAGATACACCACAGCATCTTTAGAATGAGGAACTAAGTGATCTGTCCCCCTCTTCTTCAGCCCTGCTCAAACTCCTTCCCTGCAAAATGGAAGTCTCGCCTATACTTCGTGCTAGGAGCAGTCCTTGGACTACATGGTGTCCTAAAGCATATCTGGACATTGGTTGGAACAACAGAGGGCCACATCAGACCAGACGGTGCTAACAATCAAATGATACATGGGACAGGGCTTGAATTCATGCCCTGACCAGCTGATCAGCTGTGTGATGTTAGTGTAGCCAGACAGGATCAGAATGGGAACAAAATATGGAGCAGAAGGCCTCACACTTGTTGGGATAAGAGGAAAATGGGGAAAGTATGAAGAGCTTTTCATTATTCCCTCTTGAGGAAAGATGCTAATGAGTTGAGGAACTGCATAAAAAGAAGGTAATGAATAAAAAGGTGGGGATATTGTGTCCTGCCAAAGCTCTTAAGGAAAGCTGTTTACAGGGGTCTGTCACCGTATCTGATTTTATAAGCCACTTTAAAGCTTGAAGGCTAACTTTACAGTTCTGATTTTCATCTTTGTGCTTAGCTCTGAAAATTTGAGTATCTACTAAAGAAGTTTTGTCACCAGCTTCATGCAACATGGAAGTTTTGTGATTGATATGTCTCCTGTTTTGGGAGCTGGAAAAAAAAATGGCAAAAAACTAGAAACTTGAAGTTATGGGTTTTTCTCTACTTCATATATAGGACAACATATTCCTTTTCCAAGATCCTAGAATAGCAAATATTATTTGCATCTAATTAATAATGCTTCCAGCATTTATCATTGGCTCATATCTATCTGTGGTGTGGCAGGCAGTAACAGGGCAGACTTTTAGAACCCAGTTTGCGTATTTCAAACTTCATTTACAAATCAAAATCATACTACTTTCAAACTGTAAGTATTATGGTTGACTTGTAATCATATTCAACAGTCCACTACCTAATGTTCTGACTTGGAGGCAGTTGTTTTTTTGGCGTTTTATTCTTGGTGGGTTTTTCTCTTCAAGTGAGAAAATCAGAACGTTTCTTAATACAATGATTTGGAACAAAATAGCTTTCCTATTTAAAAGAAAAATAATTGTGTGGGAGGTGTGAGTAAATGAACTACATGTATAATGGGTCTGTGAGGTATCGTAAGAAAGCTAGACTTGAATATACTTCTTTCATTTTTGGGACTGTTTGATTACTAGTTTGCAGCATAACTTGCGAGTACATTAAATGACAGACTTCAGTGTGATTTGGTTTTGCTTCTGTGTAAGAACTTATTTTGATGGGCTAAAGGGAGATCCTGCAAATTTATTGCTAAATGCACTTCTTTTGCTGCTAGAGTTCATTAATGCCTTCAGTAGCGCTTTATTTTTGTGCCAGTTGAAGAGCTTGCAGTTTGCCATACAGGAACTTGAGCAAGGTTAAATACCATGTTATGCAATAACCAGGCTTTGACACTTGCAATAAAAAGGTTGCTAAAATTGTTTTCCATATCTTTGGGAACTGAATATTTTAGCAAGCTGCCAGTA